ATACAGTCTACATTCCACAACGTCAAAATACAAAGCGTCAGTCTCTTTTATCTCTAAACCTCAGTAGATTGTAATTTCAAATGTACGCAACCAAGGTTAAATGCTAGTTTTCAAATAGGTTGCGCAAGTTAGACTTTTTCTTCTGAGTTATGCGTTGGTAGGAGCTCGGCTTCAGTAATTGCGTTTTCTTAGATTTCACGAAAATCGAACTGTGGAGGATTTAGCAAAATCACCGATTACGCCTTAAAATTGTTTCGATAGGTGGCGCTGGAGGCGATATATCTCTAAAAATCTTAAATGTACTTACGAGCCACGTAAAGAAAAAAATTGCCGCTGGTGGCACCAGAGACGAGATGTTTCTAAAAGTCTTATTTAGTACCCGATTTGGTTGAAACTTAGAATCTTAGCTTTCAGAAAGAGCTTTTAGTATTAGACAATCTCTTTGTATTCTCAATTAGAAGATCTATCAATAACACTGCCATTCGAAGGCGCACGGAAGGTGTGTTTCCAAGGCAATGGAGAACATGTAAAAGATAAAATTGCAGTAGACGTGTATTTCCTGCAAAGCTCGATCCCAAAGCCTTGCAACTCTGGTCATTCAATACAAAATATAATGGATCGAAGAATCGAGCACTCTTCAAAGGGTCAGATATGTTCATGGTATTCTAGAAGCCATTTTCTTAATTGATGTTTGCGTTAAATATTTAACGCCACGGCGAATGCGTTAAAAAAATTTTCAAAAATTCATTGTTTATAAAGTTAAGAACGGTTTGAGAAACATTTGAGAAAATTTTTTTTAATAACTAAGTAAGTAATTAATTATTTGAGCAATTTCAACTGATATCATAATTTTTAATTGAATTCCTTCCTCGCCATTGAAGCATTCATGTGATACTGATACATACTTGAAAATATAAATATTGATATTTATGTGCATACGAAAACAAGTGCAACAACTTAATTAAGTATTAATCTACCTACCTCACATGTGAGGACTACTGAAAAAAAAAACACCGACCGAACTAATTGCCAGTAGTAGCTGTAGTAGCTGTGCTAGAAATGCAACAAATTTTATGAAAATGCTGAACTTGATCTTATTAGCTATCAATAACAGGGGGTAAGAAAAAAATCACCGCAGCAAACCAGATGAATTCGTGGCAGCGAGCAGCGTGTGTCAGGTTATATTATGTATAAGTAATTCATGCGTATGAATTAATGTTTATGCGACAAAGCCAAAACTGGCGCCGGTGCTGCGCTGCTGTCGCCGCTTAGCTTTACTGAGAGTTTTTCCACAGTTGTCAAGTGCAACTTTTTGACAAGTTTCAATGAATAGCGCCAATCTCCTTGGTGCAAACGAACTACATACCAATGTAAATGCTTTGTACGAATATGCCGCCACCTTCGCTATCGCCGCTACTTTGATAGCAACTTTCTAGTTCTAACACTGACTGCGGTCATCCAGTTTGTTGCTTTACTTAATCTCAATTCAGTGCAAATAAAAATATCGTCAAAATTGTATAAAAGCATTTGAGAATTTGATTACTCACAACAGTTATACAAATCCCTCCGTTGCAATAACAACATAGTCCTTTTAATACTTTAAAATAGTTTCTATTTGTCTTAAATTTACTCCCAATCCTAATTCACATACCAAAATGTACAAAATCGTAAGTAAAAATAAGATAAAATGATAACTAAAAAAGTTTATTTTAATTACAACTGCATAACTTTTTTGTTCTCCTAGGTGCTTGTTCTCTCACTGATCGCATTCGCTTGCGCCGAGCCTGGCGTCGTGGTGGCTCCAGCAGTGCCCGTTGCACCGATTGTGCATCATTCGGGCGCACATGCCGTTCACTCGTAAGTACGGGTACTTAGCAGTGGTGTCGATAGGATGTTAAAGAAAAATCGAAATAATTAATAGTTATATGTAGCTGTTCATACTCTTTGCAAACAAACAACTGAGAAATATCTAAAGATACATTTTAAGTCTTATTTCGTTGATTTTTCTCTTTCCTTTGTTATTGCTTGTACACATTCCGAAATCTTAAACTCTTTTCTGTTTTTATTGTAGTCACGTAATTCATCACCCCGTTCCAGTAAAGACTGTTGTAACGCCAGTTATTGCCAAGACTGTGGTACCAGTAGCGCCAATCGTAAAACCAATTGTGCCTATAGTTCCAGTCCATCATGCCCATCCGGCTGTTGTTGTGCATCACTGAGTTGTTCCGGCGACAATGCGGCTGCTGTCCCACCACCCTTAAGACCAACAACTCAACGAAAATACAACTCAAGTTAATCGAATGCAACAATGGCACAACGCGTTAATATGTAGACTACAAGCAACCTCAAACCTTTCCTTTCACTTTCCTGCTTTAACTACTTATATAGTATGTATGTATACTCCTCTAAAAAATCCCCGAAATTAGTAAAATATAAAAGAAGCAAAACAACAATAAAATCGTGAAAATCATTTAGCAAGCTGTGCGACAGGCAATAATGTATTGCGTGAGGTACAGCGAAAGAGAAATGTGGGCGGATGCCTGAGAAGGAAAGGAAGGATGTGTGTAGATATGTGGCGAAGGATATTCGCAGGAATCCTTTTAGCGAAAGCGAAAATAGAATTGAAGAAGCACATTGGGATTGCGCTGGTTGACGGTTGAATAATTTCGGGCACTCAACTTTGGATACATTGCTGGCGACTTAGAAAACTATGTAATTTACTTACTTTGTTTCTAGGGTAGTCTTAAACCAATTCATTCATTCGGCGAGAAATATATTGAAGTGTTTTGGATTATTGCAGACTTTGATGGTTTATGATAGGATTTAGAAACGTATTTGTATAAAATATAGCAACGACGCTTTTAAAAGTTGACTATGACGTTGCGGTAGGGTTAAAACAATTTTTTTTTTCTTGGAGAGTATCGATCGCGATTGTCGCGAGGTGGTACCTACTACAGATGACGTTTGTCTTAAACCACTGAGCTCGGCGGCCGCAGCAACTGGGTGTGTTTTAGAGTAAGGTACAAATGAGGGGTTCCCCAAACAATACCAGCCACCTTTTGCCCCCTCAAACCATCTTTGTTAAGACCCCTTACATATGCTTTACCGAGTGTTGAGTTACTTGGAAGGTTTGCAGTCGTAATACCGGGTTAGGGATACTGCGCAGGAATTTAAATCTCAGTTTGGCTCTGAGCAGGGTATTTCGTTGAGGAGGTACGCTAGTTTCTTTTAAGAGGAAGTATGAACATGCTCAAAGAGCGTGAACTGCATGAGATATAACAGACGGGTTCAATGACACATTAGACAGATTCAGGTTAAAGATACTGAACTCTGATGTGCTAGAACCTATAATACGGTTAGTTCTCTTCCAAAAACTGGAATTCATTATACAGATAGATAGATTTGTTGGAAGATGTGCACCGTCACCATAGATCTATTGTGCCCTCAGAGCTCATCACAACACCTCGTGCAGCCATAGTGCTCTAATGAAGCCGCGCAGTTTCGAATGCTGTGAAGAGTGAATGTCATTACATACGTGCTAAACTTAGCTAAACTTAGAATTAATCAGAAGAAGAAAAAGCTTGATCGATACGATAATTCTCCTATGTAAAGAAGAAAAAAGCTTAATGCAGAATGTCCAGTCAGTTTCCTTTCTTATTTATGCTGGTCTTGATTGGGTCTTTTATATTTTTTCTAAAGCGACTCTCCTCTCACGAATTCATTGCAATTTTTAGCGTTGGGCAGTATCGATACCAAAAGTACTCAGAACTCGATTCTCAAAGGGATCGACAGTAAAAAATTTTTAGAAGTATCGATACTGAGTACTCCAAAGCCTCATTCAATCGACGTTATTTGGTATTAATATATTAATTTGAATAAAGTCCTGCCAGCTAGTGAGATTTTCTTACTAAGCATTGAAATGTAAGTGTCTTCAGAGAATTGTTTGTTCCAGAGATCGGAGATAACCCTCTAAACTTTGAAAGTGTCCCAAAATAACTTCTACTATTTAAAAGAAAAATAACCCACAACAGAGAACAGGTGATTTCTTTTTTGTAGATGTGTGCTCTCGCTCAGTGGGAAAGGGTTATTTGTGTCCCTGGTGTATATGTACGAAAAAATGCTTAAAAAAAATAAAATCAAATAGCTTATTTACAGTGTATCATATTATGAATGTGCACGCTTTCTTATGTGTCATAAATCGCGCATGTATGTACAAGTAGTAAATATATGCCGTGTAAGGTATGCCTAACGCCTTTCTGCCACTTATGTACATCCACTTATATTTGTCTGTTTTTTAATAAACCAAAAACGAATACACTTAAAAATAAAAGTCCCTGCCAAAGTGTCTCTGCGGAAGGGTAATTTAAGCAATTGATAAATAACCCACAGCAGAAAACACAAAAACATCAAACAGAGAGATTCGGCATGGTGATAAACACATTTTGCTTGAAAGATTTGTATTTGTGTCAATGAGAAACACAATGAAAATTAAGTGGAGAGGGTTATTTTCGATCTCCAATTTACTCTTACATCTAGCAAGTCACTTAGTAGCCGTTCAGTTCAGAAAGATGTGTAAGGATTCTTATGGCAACCCCATATTTCATAAACTATAGTTAATTTTGAGAAAAAAGGAGAATAAGAAGATATGTCAGATAATTCAGCTCAACCCCCGCTTACCCATATTTATATCATTGATGTAACCTTTGCAATTTGTTAATTCTTATGAAAAATCCTTTTAGGCCGTTGACCTAAATAATTATCACAATTCTACTCGCTAAACTAATTCACGTCTCTCAGGCGGTGCTTTCACTTTTTATTTCTATTTATGTTGTTGGAAATTTCTTCACATTTAATTGCACAAAAACCGTTATTGGAGCTGATTTGAATTTCAAATACTAGCGCCATTATTGGCAACAACGTTAATTTACATACCACTAGAGCGCCAGCAGAATTAAGGACTATTATTAAAATTGTAACCGGAGTGTGAGTAAATGTTTCACTTACCTATCTAACGATACGGCAATTAGACTATAGACAGATGCAGCCACCGATACGCCCTGTATGTAGGGCACTGTCTTGCACATCAGCCAGCCCAGCATCCAGGCTAAAAGAAGACATTGAAACAAAAAGCAATTAATTAGAGTAACTGGCAATGGCACAGACAATTAACATAACAGACGTGTTAGCTTAAGTGTGCAAATAAATGTACACATGTTAACAATATATATACACATAAAAACTTATAAGAAAATTCGGCAATCACTGGTGTTAGGGATATACTTTTTGGATGTAATGATATGCGTTTAGTTTGGATTTCTTCCATCAGCAATTGCTGATTGCGTTGATTGCCTAAAATAACATTTAAAACTTCTTTTCTGTGAACAATAAGTTTCTAATGTGTTATTTATTCAAGTATTAAATGAAACTCAATCCGAAAATATAGTAAAAGAGTAGGCGCCTAAAGCAGGGTTCACACGATTTGTACATTTGTACAGATCTGTACATTTTCACAGTTAGAGAGTGGTGTTGTTTTGAAAGTTGACATTGAGCTGAACTCATTATTTCTAGACAACAGCACTTTGTGACTGCCAAAATGTACAAACATGCAAAAATGTGCAAATCGTGTGACCGCAGCTTAAGATTCTCCAATACATTTTTACTTCCATTCATTATTATTGTCTATGTCGTACGTAAATCCGTGTTAATAGGGTATGTTAGGTAGGAGACTAGAGAAAGTTCCCACACAGAGCCTTATCGACGCCTTTGGATGTTAAAAATCCTTGTGGGCCAGCTTTGAACCTATGAACCATTTCTACCTATAAGATTTTTGCAAGGTCTTGAAAGATTAGTTCTATGGGGGATTTGGAAGCTATCAGGGTTGCCTGATTGTAGACTGAGAAGATGTAGACTTGCTTTATCTCTGTAGGTATTTGATCTACATAGGCTCCATGCTGCCTTCTACGCTAACAAAAAAAAATAACATAATTTTTCAAACAGCCCACATAGGGGTATTTAAACGATTTAGGCGGCCATAAACCAATTTAACAAAATTTTGAAGGAAACTTAAAAAATAAGTCACATTCGATAGAGAACATTGCAAATAAAATTTCCCGGTCCCCCTAACTTTTCTAACTTGCACAGTGAATGCCCACCGTTGTCCGGAAACAGAATATTCTAACGCTGCTTATAAATAAATTTTCGCTCTCTCGAAAAATCGTGACGGTGTTAAGCTAATATCTTGATTTCTGCATTGTAGAAGGTAATAATGCATTTGAGCGTAAATATTTTTTAATCATTTTATTAAGAAAAAGTTCAATTTAAATGTAACGAAAATAGCGGGTTTCCACGAGTACTTTTTTAATTTTTGTTGAATATTAAGGAATTTGTTGTATGCCCGGGAGAGATCGCGTTATTATTCTTTGTTCAATTGAAAGCTTAGAAATTTGGCTAATGTGGTGGGAAAAGAATGCCCGCAGAAAATGCCAGATAAGTGGTATTTTTACTTAGAAAATGTATTAAAGGAAAATCTAGAAATGCAAGTAGTATATTGAAACAATACTTTAGATCTATTCTAACACTAAAATTGAACTTTTTAGATGAATTTGAGGCCGCTGAATCAGAATACGAATCCAGTTAATTAAAAAAGGAAATAGTTTTCGAAATATCAGTATACGCTTCACCAAGCCGTCCCAAACTCGGTATGAGCCTTACTTAGGCTATATCTAATATATCTGCTAAAAATCCTTGAAATCTGGCGATAACCACGCCCACATCCCATATAACGGCAATTTACAGAAACACGAAAACTGCGATAAATCAGTAACTACTGAAGCTAATTCACTCAAAATCGATTCTTGGAATAACCTCTTAGCATTAAATTAGATTATTATAGTTTTTTTGGATAATGGGCGTGGTGCCGCCCACTTATGACCACAAATGTATATCTCGTTAACCGATTTATCAATTTTTACCAAACTCGGTGCACTTAATAACCTTTGTATGGAAAAGCAATACGTTGAAAATAGGAAAACTGCGATATTTCAGTAATTGAGAACGCTAATTTACTCCAAGTTAATACTTACAACACTCTCTTAACAATAAATAAGACTGTTATATTACTGTTATTATTACAAAAATGTGGTACATATTTGAATCATCGAATTCTTTAAGCTAAAGTTGAATTTTGAAAAGATTTTTTAAACCGGTGGCAACACTGGGAGGTTGTTTAGAGATAAAGCCTTTTCAAACCCATCTCTAAATAATTTCTAATTTCAAAATAAAAATAAAAACAAGGGTATATTTTCCTTGGTATAATATAATCCTAGGAGGTGAGAGCATTAAAATTCCGATCTTACTTTTTATGTACATATATTGCAANTAATTTGTCTTATTAATTCCTATATCTGCATTGAGAATAAAGCTTAGTTACATAATCTAAATGTATGGCTCACAAAACAAGATTTGGTAACTATAACTAAACTTTTTTTCTTAGTACGGTACATGAAGAAAATTTATTTCCAAGCCCAAGACCTTTTCCTATTCGACACCGCCTTTAAATTACCATAAAAAAGTATCCTTCGGTTTTTGCATTACATCCCGCCAATTTCAACAAGTACCATAGACGTGTCGAACTTGAAGGTTTACTCTTCATCTCTATCTCAAGTATGCGTTCCTACATATGTATGTATATATGTATGCATTTAAATATGTACGAATATATGTTATTTTGATGCCGCCGCCCATATTTGCACATTCAGACGTTTGTATTTACATAAATATGTAAATATACAGCCTCACAAATGCATTATCAGCAAAAAAAAATTTGAATTTGGAGCGCTCTTGACTTTGCACCTACTTATGTAGATGCGTTTTTTCACATTCGCTTGCTTATAAACATTTGTATATACATACACATGTATGTATGTACATGCTTGAAATGCATTGCAGGTATGTACTTTTGCACACACCCTTTTCCTCAAGCCTCTTTCAGTGTATCTTTCAAAAAATGTTGCGTATACGACGTGAAGGCCAAGAGAGATGTGTTATTGCTTTGACATTGATAAGTCAGACATATGTACATACATACTTATTAACGTACTTTCATAGGTAAGTAGATTCTTATATATGTAAATATATGAGTTCATACATATTTGTTTCTTATATAGGTGAGAAAAATGTCATTACCACCAAAAATGAGTTAAATTGACAAAAGAAATTCGCATACTTAGCACTCATTCAATTAAACTATGTAGTTGCACGTTGAGTATGCCGTCCTAAGGGATATTCTTTTGTGCTTACCGTATGTAAGAGTGTATGTGGTTCCTTATTAATTGCAGGAGTTTAATGTATGTATAGTTGTATAGTGCGACCTGCATTTGATTTAATGCTTTTAATGATAATAAAAC